AAAAAAAAAAAAAACGTTATAATAGAAAAATGAAGTTATATTGATTTTTGAAAAAAACTGTTGGTTTAGTTGCATGCTGAAACATTACTGTGTTTGGGATGTTTTCAAAAAGGAGTTTTGTTGTAAGATCATAGATAAGCTGTTACGAAAAAGCCAACAAAATCAGATGTCTTTAACAGCACACTTTAAGAGATCAAGAATTTTGTTCTGAATTTTTGTTGCTGCAACACACTTATGTGATATTATTAATATAAAAAGTGTCTAAGAACGATCTAGTAAGAGTGTTTGTATACCTTCTCATTGATTGCTGGATGAACTTCTTCATAAATCCCATTGTCCATTGCCTCTAACGGCCAACAATAGGGCAAAAAAAAATTTGGTTACATAATTGTGCCTCTGAGTTTCTTTTGTTCAGCAAAAATTTTTCAACTTCACGATCTTCAAGAGCATCTCTTGGTGCATTGAGGTTAAAACTAAATGAAGGGTTTCTTATCTAAACTGTAAAGTTCTTTTTATAAGCCTTTAGGTTTAAAAATAACACTGTATTCATAGTAACAACGTATCTTTTTTTTCAGCCAAAGATTTTCGAGGAGTTTTTTAGAAGTTCACTTTTTTTCATGTCAGATAACTGTTATTTAGGGTACACTCAAAAGCACTAAAGACAAACTGCAAAAAAAAAGGGTACTTTTTTTAGTAAAAAAAAATTTGAAAAAAATGTAGTTGTTCTTTCTAATCTACTCTATTCATTGTTCCTCTTAATGCAGAAACAAATAAGCACAGTATAAAGCGATGACAAGTTTGAAAAAATTTTAGTAGTTTTTTTTTTTCTAGAACTGGACACTGCACTGTTTGTCTGTCAAAAACAAATAAATTGTGACGAGAAGCTTCTCGATGAAACAATAACCCACAACGTGAAGAAAAAACAGCTTTGCATTAAAAAACAACAATTTCTTTTAGACAGTAATAGGCAGTTTGAACTGTTGGTGAAACTACATTGAACTAAAAAGTAAATTTTAAAACGTTTAAATCTCTCTAGTCATCGTGAATAAAAATTGAGTTTTTGAAAATACTAAACATTTTTGTTCCTAAAAGACATCAGTTCTCAATTCACACAGACAAACAGTGTAAGAAAAAACTGGTTTTTTTATCCATTCTTTATTTTAGTTGCAAATTTTCCGCTTAAAATCTAGAAGGTTGTTAATAACTTTTGAACGATATGTAATTGCCGCTACAAGTAGAACAAATTTTACATGTTCCTCAGTATACCGCTTCTACAACTGGTGTACAGTCCCGACAACGATGGTCCACGAAGAAAATTTTACGAAATAAATTTGTGCCAACAACTTTATTTGGTTTGCCGGCTACAGGGCAGCAAAAAGTGATAGATGGATTTATTGGTAATGTGCCACGATTTGTTAGTCAAAAAGAAAAGACAAGAATAAAATTAAGACAGTTATTCTTCATTTGCATAGCTGGCTTGATAACAGTGTCACTGCTATAATAAACTAAGATCAAAATTCTAGAACAACAGATGACGATATTGGATGACAAAGCAAGCAAAAGGAGAGAGATCATAAGCGAAGTTGAAAACTAGCTGGTCGTTGGCGAGCTAAAGATTGCTTACTTCCAGATGAAGAAGCACAAAAAAACTGGAGGTCTAAAAATTTATACGTAAATATTCATTTTCTGCTGCTTTTTTTGGTTTATAGAACAGCAGTGATTGACCAGTATTAAATTTTTCTGTTCAAGAGACCTTAGACTGCTATACGCGTATTATCAGCAGTGTTAAATTTGAGTATAATTGTCAAGTTTAATGTCAAATTAGACTTTCCTACCTAAAAAAATTTCTAAAGAAATTTTTTCTCAACTAAGTTTTTGTTTCCAAATTGTACAAGTTTGAAGGAAGACAATGGTTTTAGATTGGTAACAACAAATATTCTGTTCAAAAAGTTTTCATCACTTTAATGACGCGAATTAAAATAGCTAAAGAAACGTTGAGCACGTAGAAAAGGTGAAGCAAACAATGCAAACTTTTCATCATTTTTAGTGGTTTTTTTTTATTTTTGCTTTTTGAGTGCAGAATGAACGTAGGAAATAAGGTATAAGAAAAAAAAGCTGTCTTTAAGCTAAGCACTATTGCTGAGCAGTGTAGTGCAAAAGCAGTAATTGTGTTATACTGAGCAACAGACAGCAACAAATTTCAGTTGCTAATTCCTCAGAAAACTAACTAACTGTTTAAACAGATTCAACAAAAAGAAGGAAAGGTTATGTAGTGAAAAACTTTCAAATAATATGAAAGTGCTAGTATGGCAACAAAATTTAGGTGATGCACACTTCAGATTTACCGGTTGTGGTTGTCGAGAAGCAAAAGTACCTTTTCAATCTGCTTTTCATGCTTTACGTATGCAAAACAAAAAAAAAACTTGTTGTTATGAAAAAAAGACAGTTGCTTTTTCTGAGACTTTAGTTTTTCTTTTCAAAAGATTAAAGACTTCACTAGCTAGCATTTGTTTTTTTTTTTTATTTTTAAAGATTATTTCTGCACATATACCATATAACAAATATCAAAAGACTGTGCAAAATGACACAATCTTGAATATTTTAAAATTTGAACATAACTTTATCAACTTTTTTAAATTTCTTCGTCTAAATACATATCAATTGCATAAAATAGAAAAATTTGAGGCTTCTATTGACGAAGATTGCAGTAATAGGAATAATAATTGCACAAGCAGTAATTACAGTAACGATATCAAAAACAAGAATGATAATAATAGCAACATCGTGTTACCACTACTATTACTATTTACACTACATCTAATACTAATACTGATACTACTACTACCAATAATAATAATAACTTTTACAACAGCAACATCATTTGATAAGTCAAGATTTGGCTGAAAAAGTTGATGAAACTTTTGCCTTCTAATGAGCTACCAGACTACCTGTGTCAGATAAGTTCTTCTTAGCTGGCAACGTGTGACCTTAAAAAAGAATACTGCGACCTAAATTAAAGCTGAACGTTTGCAACGAGAAAGCATGGTGAAAAATCCCAATACTGGTTAACAATTTTAAAACGATTTGGTAAAAAGAACTGAAACGGTAACATTCAAGAAAGAGTAATTTTACTGAGTAGCTAAAATTGTAGACTGCAATACGTCAGGGAAGTCCAGAAGGTGTTTTTTTTAGGTACTGTAGTTTTAATAAAATTATAGATGATTATAAAGCACCTCCAATATTTGCCAATATCTGTCTTTGGGTTTTCTCTTTAGCTTATTATTAATTGTCTAATAGTAGGTGTATAACAAAGACAATCAAAAAATGTGCGATTAATTCAAGTGAGAGCTGAAAATTTGATTTTTTTTCCCCCATTCGAACAATGTTTGGTGAATATGAAAAGAGATGGTAAGCAATAAGAGACGAAGGACAAAAAGCGTAAAATCATCAAAAATGCAGTTTTTCACACGTCGACCGGACTCCGTGTTTACAAAGAGCCAAGCAAATTATTGGCTTGGTCTCTTTGGACAACTGCAATATAAATAATGGTCCACTGGTCACCAAGTCAGTCAGTGTTCGGTTGACATCCTCAATAATCAGTTTGAGCAAGCATTGCTTATCTGGGGTGTTTTCAATCTTGTTCCCTTCACAACTCAGTGTAATTTAGTTTTCTTTTCCAGACAGTTATGCTCCGCTACTTCGTCTACACAACAGCAATCATTGCCGTCGCACTTGGAGTTCCGCAAGCCGATGGTTGGTCTATAGTGCCCAACAGACTATAAGTGTCAAGTGTGGTGTGCAGCGTGAAGCTTGAGACTTGTTTGGCTCTTTTATCCAACTGTTTTATGCCAGAATTGCAGTGCTGTGATACACATATACCTTTTGATACCTTGGACTTGCGGAAAAGTGGAAAGTCTTGCTGATGTTGGACGATGTTTCTCGGATTGACGGCCATTTGATTTTTCGATTAAAAACACGCGTTTTTTGTTTATTTCTTATTTTTTATTTTTTATTCGTTTTTATCTTTTTGCAACACTTTTTTTGCTCATATTAGACGTAACAGCTGCAGTCTAGGCTTTAAAAGCTTTGAATCTTAAAAGTGCGGTGTCGTTTGGAAAAGAAAATCACAAAGCTCTTTTTGTTTTCAATTTCTCTTTGCCGTGCTTTCTGACTTTCATTTGAACAACGTTTAACGGCCTCTTTTTGCACCATTATTATGGAATCAAAGTTACTGAGTTCAGTTCTTAGAACTGCCCCTACAGGCAGAACACTTTTTTACTATTTCAGAATGTATTTTTATGGATTGCCTTTTAAAGCGGACGATTCCGGTAATACAAGTTTTTAATTTTTCAACAACCAATCTCAACAGATGCTTAATCCGATCTAAATAATACTTCCGCGTTTCTCCTTAAGTTTAACTTGGCCTTTGAAACTCAATTGCTTTTCGTTTTGAAAATTAGAAGCAAACAGTGTTTTGAGAAACCCTTACGAAACGTTCAGCCTACGGCACTTTTTTTCACCTACAGTAGCAGGAAGATACTCAGTGATTTATCGCTGTTTTGCTCTGCACTTTTTAGCCTTTAATTTCTCAAAGAAATTCGCATGCAGATTTGTTGTCTTAAGCACTTCCAAACCAACCTAGCATCTGTGAGATAAGTTTCTAGACAGGTACTGTACTGAATTCCAGGAGAAACTGTTGCTACAAATGAGAAACGACGACAGTTTATACAGCCTCTTCCTGGCCAAGCTCAGATCCCCAGAAATGTCCTTATGGCAAGCAGTTATCCAGCCCCAGCTCCAGTCCCTGTAGCAGCAGCGGCACCAGTGCCAGCAGGTATATTTTCCGGCAAAGATTTAGGCTTCGTGACAGCCATTAAGAAGATCTTTCGAAGCTAGAGGTTTTTTTACAATTAACTTCAGTTACTTTTCTATTAGACTTCATTTTAGGAGTTGTGGCTTCACCACCAGTGGCTGCGGCTCCGGCACCAGTAGTTGTCTCACCACTTGGACAATGCCCCGGTGGTCCATCTCTTCCAGTTGAATGTGACCCCAAACGACCATGGCCTCAGTGCCCACCACAAAGTTACTGCTATGCCACGAACTCTGTTGATATTGGACCTTACTTTTGCTGCCCAATCTGTTAGAAAATCGTGATTATCGATTTTTATTTTTACATTTTACATCAATAAAAGATAACCTTTCAATTTTCCTTTCTGCGTACCGCTTTATATTTGGAAGTTCTGTTGTTTTCTGTAATTTGGCATAAAATACTTTGCCATTTTCTGAGGTAGGAGTGCTTTTTAGGGTCAACTTACGGCGCTGCCTGGAGACCAGCAACTCCCTTTTACAATTACGTCCCCGCTATGCCACCAAACTGGCCTGATGTAATGAAGCTTACTGCTAACTGGCCTGCCGCAGCTGTTGGTCTCCCTGTTGCAGCAGCTCCAGTCCCAATTGTTGCTAAAAGCAAAAAGGTGAGTTCTTTAGAAATGGCAAATTCAGGCAGCAGATGAACAGAGTAGACAAAAACAGTTTGTAGCACTTATTCAACTTTTTAGCTTTGCAACTGAAACGTATATCAAGCATTTTTCAATTCGTTTTTTTTCGAGGCAGAAATTAATAGCGTTATTACATGGCTATAGTGATTTTGGGGGGTTCTAGTTACAATAAATGTGAAAGGAGTTAACTAGCCTTCCTTATTTGTTGGCGGTATCGTTACCTGTTTCTCATTTTTAAAATTTTTTGAAAACTGTTCTTTACGCAGTGCTGACAAGTTCTGGTTGTAAAAGCATTTTTTTAATTTTATTCTCTTCACTGCAAACATCCGGACCAAGTTTTTTTAATTTAATTAACAATTTTTAGCAACCACAACTGAATGACGAACCGACAAAGGAGCAGAGTGCGATTGAAGCTTCAATCAACGGTTGGATGCAGAGGCAAAAGACTTTGGTTAGTGTCTGGACTCCATTCAATTTCTTTGCTCAAAACCACTTTTATCTTCAATCTTTGTAATTTGGTGACTAAATTTTCAGTGAGACCGCAGTCGGAAAGCGACTTATCCAACAAGATTTTGCTGACAGTGACTCTTCAAGAACTTATTTGTACATATGTGGTGTTTGTGAAAAACAGCATGAAGCTCAAAGCTTGATTGTACTGTATAAGTTGTGCATTCTTTTTTTCAGCTCTATTCCTGCTTTACACTATAAATTCTGCTGGAGGAACGTACTTGCACTGCTTTCAGCAACGCTTTTGTTTTTCTACATTTTATTTTTTTGTAGAGCTGGAAAGGAATATTGAAAATACTTATGTAACTTGAAAATCACTACTCTTAACTTATTGACTTATTTCCTGGGATTTTGTTGGAGAATAAAGGTTGCCTTCTCTATCTACAGTTTTTTTTACAGCTTATAAAGTTCTTACAGCTGACCATTTTTTTAATATTTATCTTAAAAATGTTACAATTCCGGATTGCACAAAGAGAACAAAAGAAAACTGAATTTAAGCTCTGAGTCTCTCTTTAAAAAGTTTGAAAAAAATGGGTGCATCAGTCTTTGCTCTTCGTCTTCGCCATTTTTTTGACATCTTTGTGTTTTTATTTTATTTACTATGAATTCTGATTGAAAAGGCTAGCTCGAGCGGATATCTTAAGCAGTTTTGGCTGTTTTCTCTTTCTGCTCATTCTAAAGGAGGTTTTGAAACCACTAATTTGGAGAGAACGTAGAACAGTAGTACGATCGATTGTTGTCTGCCAAGGGACTTTAACAGTAGTGCCCACTTGCACTTTCTTTGCTTTTAATTTAGTGATTCTTAACAAGACTTCTGCAGTGCTGTTCTCTACAGGTTTTTTATTAATATTTTTAGAATCAGAAAACTGTTAAGATACGGCTTAAAAGAAGAACTAACATTCAAGAAAGCTAGTTGTCAAAGCCAGATCGTAGATGTCATTATTACTCTTGAGCTGCCGGTTTCACCATTCCAAATTAGTAGAAAATAGAATTCAAACACAAAATTCTCCGCATCTTTCTCGTGCTCAGTTATTTAATTACTTGTGCTCAATTACTTAATTACATAAATGTCAAAGTAGTTGACTGTAAAACTAATGATACAGAAACAGTTTTCAATTTTTTTGCTTTCATGACTTGCCGCTGACCACTAGCAAGGATTAAAATTATAATATCTGACGAAATACGTAACAGCACTCAAACCAACTAAATCTGTGGTGCGGATTATTAGATTTTTAACTTTATTTCATACCAAAGAGAAGTCGAATTTAATAATAACCTAGTGACAGCTTTAACCAGTTAAGAGGCATCTCTAATCTTTAAAACAATTATAAGCAATTCATTTTGCTACAATTTTTTGTGATGTATAAGCAACTCGTCTACATTTGCTGTTTAAAACCAATGAGTGCAACAGTGTAACAAATTGTTTATTAGTTGTACAAATCTTGCAACTGTTTTTAACTTGTTACCAAAATAACAGTCTGCTAACAACGTATTCATATGCTAAAATATTTCTAAAAGATTTTATACTGCAGTTTAACAACTTGATAAGTTTTACACCAATTCAATTTTCTCAACTTTCTTAACTGGTTGCTTTCCATAAACAAAGTCATATAAAAAATGTTGATAAGGATGTAACAATGCAAGAAATTTAAGCGCATTTTAAAAAGCAATACTATGGCAACAGGTCAGAGCAGAATTGCAGTTTTAACCTAAAAAAGTCAATGACCTTTTAGTAAAAGGAAACGGAGGTGAAGTAAATTAATAGTCGACTATTTTTTGGCTTTTTTTTTTCGCCAGTTAAAGTTCTATTTGTTATTTCTGTAACGATAAATCATACCTCCAAGAAGAAGCTATTGTTGAGTTTTTGCAAGCGAACAGATTTTCTCTGCTAAAGTTCAGCTGGAAGGCTTGAATTACTGTTTTTTCCTTCATCAAAATTAGGAGATTTTTATGTGCCACTGACAGTATGCGGTGTCCCAGGAGATGTTTGTGTGTCACTGAAAGTATACGATGTCCCGGTGAACAAAACTGGACTCGAAGGCCTATTGCTGCGGTCTGCACGTTCATTTTTTATCCACTGCCTTCGCCATATTCTTTCGCTCTGCAACCGTTTGTGATGGCAGTAGAAGTATCCAAACAACGGAAGGCAAACAGCAGATATCACATAACATGCAGTGCACAAGGTAAAAAGACCTGAAAACAATTTTCTACGGTTAGATCCATTCTTTGAAAACTTTGTTTACTCTAATTAAGTTATTATATTTACTGAGAAAATAACAGTCATCACTACTGAGAAAATTGAAAATCTTCACTTGTATCGTATTCTGGTCACTATACAGGTTTTTTTTAACCATCACTTTATCACAGGTATCTAATGAAGGCTTAATTCAGTAAAGCAGTTGTAAAAGAGAAGTATGACTTTTCTTTTTTAACATACATAGTTTGATAATGCGACTGCTAGCTGCCGAAGAAGCCCTGTATTCAATTTCATATTCGTTATCAAAATCCTAAAATATGCCAAAGTGTTTCATTAAAAAAAGTGAAAGTTACGCAGAATTCATCAAAAATTACGATGAAAGTTCAACTGAGCCTACTTTGTTTCAATATTGCTTCAAAAAATTTATAGAACAAAAATTTTTTTTGCATTAAAAACTGGTAATATGTATATGGTTTTTTACTGTTCAAGATTTGAACAAAGTAAAATTTTGAAAAACTTTGCAGCTAATTTTTTAAAACTCACTTCATAATCAGAACCTCCAGTAAAGTTCTGGCTTAAATAATCAGATTCTTCTAATTCATTTTCAATCCAGTCACTTGCTCTTACAGCTTTTTTAACATTTTCCAGTTTGCTGCTTGAACCTAAACATACAAAACTGACGTAATCTATCAAAAGTCAAATAATCTTTTTTTGTCCATGTCTGCTAAACACCGGAATTTAAGAGCGTCACGAATCCTCTTATCATCTGTAGAATTAAGTCTGGTCACAAAAAATGCACCAATGTTTATTCATCTTCGTAAAACTTTTCTATCAAGATGAGTAAGTCATCAGAAATAGTAAAATAAAGATACTAGAATGTTTAAAACCGTTATGTGCTAAAAATTAGTGCATTACGCTGAAAAGTAACTATTTAACCTAAATTGTCCCTTACCTCTTCCTAAAAACTTATCGCCATTATCAAGTGTATCTTTGTCAGCCTCAAATTTCTTGTATTTATGTTTTATAAAAAAGCACTGGTTCTATATCAAAGCTGTTTGCGACACCTTCCCCCCCCCCC